CTCTTACACTTCAGATAGCAGTTTACGTTTCTTGAGTTCATTCTTTTCTTTGTCTTCCAGTTTTGCAGACTGTCCCTTCTGCACCAGCTGTAGTTTGTCCCTTACTGTATCCTCAATAGTTTCCACCTGAAACACACAAACACACTACATTAATAACACATTCATTGGGAGATCGGCGCTTAATTGATTATCTGTGCAGCATGTAACTCACGGTTTTGAAGACTCGTGGTCCTCCCTCGTGAGCTTTATCCAGACGGATCCATTTGTTAGACATGGCTTTGCTGAAACCAACTTTCCCGCTCGGCATTTTCTAAAAGAATCAAAAGGTACATGAGATAGCAGATGCAAAACATGCATACCAATGTATACGCATCTGTCAACAATTCATAGGATTAACAGGTAATCCTCGCTATCTTAGAAATATTATATTTCCCCCCAAAATAAAAAAACGTGATTATTTCATGTTTATATATATTTTACATATAGAAAATGAGAACCTGATGTTCGGATCTCATTTTATACAAACTTTTCAACCGTTTTGCAAATATATGAATAAAAATTAATTTCATTTTACTGTACTAGAGTCTCTTGTCAAATTATTTTATTTTCATTTCTGTGTAACATACTGCCATGGTGTATACATCCAATTGTACTTTACAAGTATACTTTGTAAAGTATATTAAATCGAAATGACATTTTTGAGAATGTTTAAATATGAGAAAGTTCAGATAAACTTGGTAGAAAACACTTTCTCTGTTTTCACGAGATTCATCCTAATGGCTCTCCTTGGTCAAGATCGATGTCTTCTCCAGTACCAGACTATAGACGACTCTTTCATCTCTCACCATGAGTTCATTCTGCGGCAGACCCTCGTCCGGGATGGCGTTGAAGACTCGGGCTTCATGACTGCCCTGCTCTGCGATCTCACGGCCCTCTCCTGTCAGCTCCCAGTGTTTGGAGGACTTCTGCTCTGTCGAGATCACCTGAGAACAGGATTCAAACTGGTTAAGATAGAGAAACAATACCATATTTATATTAAAACAATATATATACTGATACTCATAACCTCGGAGAAACTAACAGTTGTCAAGAAAAACAGGAATGTTCTTCAATGTACAATAATATGCTACAAAACGCAGGCTCTTTAATTAACCCCTTAACGGTCACCGTCCCACCTGTGGGACGCTTGGCGCTCTTTTTGGTTGTTGTCCTTTTTCTCTATCAAATCTTTTAGTAATCATCATAAATTATATATCATTTGAAGATTCATCCTGTGAAAACAATTTTGAAATCGGACATTGCGTTACCGTGGAAATGGTACTTGAAAATCTTTTGGCGGTCTCCTCCCCCTTAGCGGGCGGTGTCAAGTGTCATATTACAACATGCATTACGGTCTTTTAGAATCAAACCTTTTTATAATCTTGACAAAAAACATATCATTGGAAAGGTCTGAGTCTCAGGATTCCATATTTGGTGGTTGTAGACAGGGAAATCTAGACATTTGTGACAGAAAAATGCATTCAAAAAAATTCAATGGAGTTTGGTGGCTGTTTGTGGCATAACGCCCTGAATAAAATCTCACAGGAACCTCAATTTTTTTTCATATCGACTTCAAATTTGGAACATAACTTATTTACTTTTAGTCATTTAGTAGACGCTTTTATCCAAAGCGACTTACAAATAAAAAAAAGTAATTAAAACTAAAAGCTAAAAAATGTGCAGTTTTATA